TAATTTCTTTTTTTTTAACAAATCTTATTTATTAATGAAAAATTCATGTTGAATTGAAATTAATAAATATTTCAATAAACTCAAAAAAATTATGAGATAATAATTATTAGAATAGTATTAATATTATGATAATCTAATTTTAATTTTAAAAAGAGTGTTAATTAATGATTAATTTTAATTATTAATTAACTAAATGTTTAGTACAGAAGAATTCATTCGACAATATTAGAAACTAGCTAATCCAGACAAAACAATTAGTAATTAAGCTAATTAATACATTCTGAAATTATAATAAAGCAATGAAGCATTTACTATTGCAAAAGAATTATTAGACTAACCAAATATTTAATAAGAATATTAATTCATAGCATGTTAAATGATATACAGAAGATTGAAAGAAGAATGCAATATTTCTATTCAACCATATCTTCTAGAATTATTGACAAGAAATTTACCATCTGTTGCCATGAATTAGGTATGTTCTTCTTTAGCTGTGATAATAGTTGGAAATAGATCATTATGGGGAGGGTATTATTAATAATAATGATAGAATATTGTAGGAATTGATATAATTAATGAAAGCTAAAATGACAATAGGAATAGAAATTTTAACATAAATTGCAATTTAAGGTAAAGAATGGTATAAAAAAAGTGAATAATTAAGATTGCAATAAGAATTTATTTCTTAAGAAAATACTTTATCTGAAATATTTCTTAGTTTACTTATGGTTTAAGACTTGAGTATATTTAATTAAACAGTGTAATGTATTGAATGTTGGGTATAATTCTCATATAATATATTCAAAGATATAAAATTAACTTAATAAATATTAAGTTTAATACATTAAACAATATCAAATAATGCTATTGAATATAGTGATAAATTATTTGCTTTATTAAATGAAGGTGTTATATTCTCATAATACAATAGATAATAAAATGTAAATTAGATTGATTCTACAGTATTATAAAATTTAAATTTGATACTTGAATTTATCATAAAAATATACAATCCACAATTATCAAAAGGATATGCTTCATTTGCAACAAAATTTTTATGTGATTTTTATGCAATTATTTTTAATTCAAAATATGAATAAGCAGTATTTAATTTGATGGGTAATATTGTAAGTAATCCATCAAGAAAGATAGCATTTTAAACATTTGAATTTTGGAGTTAAATGAGAGAATATAATAAATTATAAGGATTTGGTTTAAATATATTATAAACAATGATTGATAAATGTAGAATGAAAACAATTAAATTAACAAAAGAATTTTTATTAGGAGAACCTGAAGAAGAAGATACAGATTATAATATAAATTATTATGAAGGAGGTTAACATTTTATTTCAACATCTGATTTTAGAGAAAATTCAAAGGATATATTTTATAGTATTTATAAGAGTGCTGAAATGAATATGCAATCAGATTAATATTTTTAAATTGTTTTAAATAATTTGATTATCTCTAATCCAGATTCATAAATATAAATAATTCAAAGTGAATCTGCATTATTTTCATTATGTTCAATTATAGATGAAGCTGATATTTAAGGTAATAATCAATTAATTTTACAAATAATTCATTTTATTTTATCATTACCTGTTCATTAAAACTTTGATATTATTGTTAAAACATCTTTACAAATGTTTAGTGAATTTACAAATCAATTATAATTACATAATGAAGTATTGTTATAAATAACTTAATATTTTTTTAAATATATGCTTCATCCATTGTTAGGACCATTGGCAGGAGTGTATTAATATAAACAATAATTATTTTAGAGCATTTGAATAGATTTGTAATTTAAGTTGTTTAAATAATGTTGAATTGATATCTGATAGTGTCAAATTCTTAGAATTGCATTTTAGTGAATTCATCAATTAATCTTAAGTTAGTAATTATATTGAGGGAATATTAAAATTATGTTATAGATTATATGAATAAGGAAAAACTGAATGTTTAATATAAGTAAATATTTATAAAATATTAGTTATTTAATTTTGCAAATCATTAATTTTAATAAGTAAAGAATCCTTAAGTGACTGAAAAAGAATTTCATTATAATAATTCTTTAGTTGTCACAATACTTTAATGGATGAATTTGAATGCTAATTAAAATGATTAGATTAAGTAATTATTAGAATTATTGTGTTAATCTATATTTGAACCCTTATTAATTGTTTTATAAGGTTAATATAGTTTTTCTTTATATGATGATATTTACAAATTAATTCGAATTATACTGAAAGTCTCAAACTATTAAAATTAATAATAAGTAATACATTTATTATAAATATCTTATTAAATATTTCATTCTGATCCAATTCAAAAGAATAATTGGTTATAATTAATAACTTAAGCAATTGGTAGATCTATTAATCATTAATTTATTGTTTAATGGGCAAATGCTAATGATTATTAAATACATTTATTTTGTATTGAATCATTCAATCGTTGGAAGGATCCAGATCTTATGAAAGTATATGTAGAATATGTAAAAGAATGTATAAGATGTTGTCAATAAATATTATTTGATTCACCTTATTTGTAAAAGATTATTGATGTAATTTGTGATGCCTTTCTTAATTTAAGTTCATATGAGATGCAAAGAGAGATTTTTCATTTTTTTAAGTATAATATATTGTAAAAATAAATTAGATCTTTATTTTAGTCTTTAGATAATAATAAAGAATATTTCAATCCTTTAGTAATAAAGATTGTTACTACTCTATTTATGTCTATAAGTGATATCAATCCTGCTATAGTATTTTAAATAATTTAGATTTTACTATCAATATTGTAAAAATAAGTGAATCCAAATGATTTAGAAGAATTAATTTTTTAAACATTATAAAAAAGTTGGGGAAAAGATAAACAACCTTAAAAAGTTAAATTAGTCAGCTAAGCCATAATTTCATACTTATTAAAATCTAAATAAGGAGAAATAAATAGAAATCTGAAATTACTACTAGAAAATTTACGACCTATGAGTGAAGAAGAAATCAATTATATGCAATTGGAAATAGTAATAAAGCAAAAATGATTTATATTTTTAATTGAATCTAAAAATTTCATTCATCTAATTAAGAATTTGAATTTTAGATCCATATTTTCAGTTTTTTTTATCCAAAATTCTTTAAATAATACTCTAATTAAAGTTATTCAATATGATTAATTAAGATAATTAAAAAAACCAAATATTAAGTAATTTATGTCCTCATCCATATACACTATGGATGGCAAATGCCCATATTTGTAAATGAAGATATTTTCTCTATTAGAAACCGTTACAGTTATACTAAATTAAATAAGTATTTTCAACTTAAATAAACTGATTAATCCAGATTAAAAACCTTAAGAATCAAAAGTAATTTAAAAATGTTGAAATAAGCTTAATCTTTGGATTCTTGTCAAATTTAATAGTTCATTTTTTTTTTTATCTTCATCGTTTTTCTCAAATTTTATGGTTTGTCATTCTGTTGTATTTCCTTATTATTTTATCTCATATATAATAATGTTTAGAAGATATATATATTAAATCTTAAATTTATTTTTTATTTCAATTATAATTAAAAGACTTTGATTTAAGTAATGTTTTTTTCTCCATTTGTACAATTTGATCAATTTAGGTTTTTTGTCTTTGAGTATCAGCCCTTATAAAGGCATCTACTTTATAAAATTACACCCAAGCTTTTCCTTATTGCAATTCGTCAAGCTAATAAGTTATAGATTGTTTTTCATATTTACTTCATCTGATATCTCTTATTCTGAATAACCCTACTATTTTACAATATCCCAGAAAGCCAACCATTCTTAAATCGTTATGTTCCCACTTTTATTATAATCAACTTATTAAAATAAAGCATCTGTATTAATTTTTGCAAAATTTGATTTCCAAAATTGTAATGTTCTTTCTTTATCAATAGAACCTTTATTATAAATGTCAATCTTTTGAAATATCATTATTGCTTTTAATCTTAAATTTTCTGAAATTTATTTATGCTCTGGTCTATTTGAACAAGTTCCCATTTTAATTTTATTAATTATTTTATAATGTTATCTCTCAAAGAACTCATACCTGCTCTTACTAAAGATTTCACATAAGGTATCACTCGAGTTGATAAGCATATCTACATTTAACCTAAGAAAGAACATAAATACACATTTATTTGGGTAAAATAATATGTTAAATTAGATGCATGGATTGGAAGATGTTCCTGATAGTTTTTTAGCAGGATTCAATAATCCAGAATTAAATCCTTTTGATAATTAAACAACTAAGGTTATTTTACTATGTGCACCTGTAAGACCATTAACCAAAAATAAAGGAGAAATGATGACATCATGGTATGATATAATGATTCCAAACTGGAAATAGTTTTGGGGAATTAAATCTGATAAAGAATTGTGGGGAGTTGATTAAGCTATAGAATCAAGAAATTTCATATGGAATTTGATAGATTAAGAACCAATTCCAAAAAAAAATATTTTTATAGGAGGTTTTTCTTAAGGATGTTGTATGTCATTATTGGCAGGATTAGGATATAAGTTATTTAAATTAATTAATTATAATTAGGGAATCTTTAGGAGGAATACTTGGAAATTCTGGATATTTGTTCCCATTCACTGAAATAAATAATAAGACTCCTATTTAAATTTTACATGGTGAAGAGGATGAAGTTATTCCATATGAATTTGCTGAAAAATCGATTTAGCCTTTATTTAAATTATAAAATAAAATAGAATTAATTAAATTAAAAGGAATTGAACATGCAATGATGATGGATAATTTTTAATTAATGAAAAAGTTTGTTACAAATTGTTTATCATGAAAATATAGATATTATATTAAATTGTTATTTATCTAATCTACTAAATTTAGAATACTTAAAAATATTTTTTTAATATGAAATTAAAATAAAACATTTAAATTAAATTAATGATATCAATTAATCAACAACATTCCCATCTTTATTATTTAATAGGATAACTCACTTAAACAGAAGGTCTTTAAGTTTTATGAACTACAAGTGAATTTCTTCTTTTTTCAAAATCTCCTATTTTTATTCCATAAATCTTTGATAGATATTAATTATACTTCATTTTATGGATCAATTTTACCACTTTAAATTTCTTAAAGTATCTATGAAGTAAGATTTTCAAATATCTGAATAACATTTAAACCATTTAAAGCAGAAGTTTCTATATAATTTGCATTAAATTATTTTGCAAGTTCTAATGCTTCTTTTTCTTAAACTTCTCTTCTATCTTTGAATATAATAAAGTATACTTATTTTATAAATCATGTTTATTTCCAACAATAATTATTTGAATATCATTTCCACTACATGCCAAAACTTCATTATGCCATCTAATTAAAGATTCAAATGATTTTCTATCTGTCAAATCAAATACCAATATACATCCAATAGCACTAAATTAACTTCAATTTACTTTCTATAATATGCTCTAATCATCGATTAATAAGATTCTTATCCAGCCTAATATTAGTGATGGTAATCTTACTGTATCCCATATATGTAATTTAATAATATGACTATTATATTTGATAATATTAGTTCCAAATTCTACTCCCATTGTGATTTAATGAGCATCTCTAAATTTTTGATCGACATATTGCAAGAGTAAACAACTTTTCCCTACACCTTCATCAATAATAAATTTACTAACTAGTGCTTCCTACAATAATATACTTAAAGAGATAATTATAATTTTTCATTATTAATATGATTTATTAATAATTGAATTATAGAAAATACAATTCTTATTTATAAATGGATTAATGAATTTTAGACTTAATTATAAGTATTATATGAAGAATTTTGATATTATATATCAATTATATGCTTCATTATATATATTATCTATAATAAAGAGATATTTTTTAGTTTTAGTTTTATTTTATGTTTTTTTACTTTAATTTTAAATCCTTTTTATCAATCTTCATGAATTAATGAATCAGCAAATAATTTATATAGATTAATAAGCTTGAAATTTGCAACCCTTAATAAAATAATAATGTTTGTTTTTCATAAAATTATTCTTATTAATGGAATCTTTATTAATTGATATTATAGTTATTATCAAATTAATTGGAAAATACATAGTCATACACTTAAGCGATATTTTTATCACTTTATTTTCAGTATATTGTCATTCTAAATTTTCAAAGTTTTATGATTTATTATTAATGTAATTTTTTTAGAAGTCTGAAGAATAAATTAGAATAGAGTAAAAACTATAAAGAATAAATGCAGCTAAATAAGAGGAAAAGTATAGAAAACCAAATCCTTGTTAAGTTACATTCCCAGAAGAAAATTTTATAGAAATGAAAGTTCAATAAGAAGGAAAACTTATCAAATTAAATACTTATAGATTTTAAGCAAATGGTAAACCTAAAGCTGTTATTTTTATGTTTCATGGTTTATGTGCACATATTAATCATTGTGCTCATATTGCTTAAAAGATGGCATAGGATGGATTCTTGGTAGTTGGATTTGATAACAGAGGTTTTGGAAAATCTGAAGGAATAAGAGGTTATCTAGAAAGTCTTGAAATTCATTTATCAGATTGTCGTCTATTTATGTAGAAAGTATTGGAACTATAAGGAAATTCTAATATTCCTGTTTTTTTATCTGGTTTATCAATGGGAGGAATGACTTCTTTTAGATTAGCTATTTAAGGAAATATTCCAAATCTTAGAGGAATTATTCTATATGCTCCTGCAATTAAAACACTATTTAGCAATTTATAAATTAATACAATCAAATTTGTAGGATATATCATTCCAAAATATAAATTAATAAAACCAAAAAGAGGTTAAACAACTAAGAATCCTTAAGTGACTGAAGATCTAATGAAAGATCCTTACACATACTCAGATGAACTCCTTCCTAAAACTATTTCTACAATTACTGTAAGTATGAAAGAATGTGAATCCATGTATGGATAATTACAAACTCCTTGGATAGTTATACAAGGAGGTCTTGATAAATTAGTTGATCCAGATTTGGCATTTACGCTACAAAAAGAATCACCATCAAAAGATAAAACTGTATTATATTATGAAAATTTATGGTAAAGATTATTTAATTATAATTAGGCATGATGTATGGCATGAGGAAGAGATACATGATATCATTCCTAAAGTAATATAATGGTTAAATTAGAGAATATGAATTAAATATTATATAATAATAATAAATAATTTATTATTAATTCGATTTGATAATTGATAATTTATAAGCTATCTAATTAAAATTATAAAGAAAATGTTTTGTTTAAGAAAATAAGAGATTACTATGTTTTGAATATGGAACACAAGTTGTTCTTGTTAGTTTAATAAACATAGATAGTTTATAAAATAATAATATTAAAATTATTGGAATTATGGGTTCTTGTTAAGGAACAACTTAAGATATCTAGCAAGATTTACGAATGAGAGAAATAATGTCACAGTTTTAGGTTCCAATGCCTTATACAGAGGAATATTAAATATTTTAAACCTTGAAATGGTTAGAAATGTAATCAAAGATTAAATCAATAGAATACAACATAATACTATACCAAATTTTGGATTAATTTATTCAAAAGCAGCAGATTCATAGAATAAATTGAGAGAATTTGTTAAGAAATGGAGAACAAAGTATGAATAGCATAACCATCCAAATTTGCTATCTATTCATAATATTTCCATAATAGAATCAATGAAAGTTTTTATTCCATATACTGAAATAATACTTCTTATGGATAAGCCATTGGAACCTTTATCTAGACATAAGAAAGTCATAATGAAATAACAATTTAATTAAGATGAAATAATATTTCTTTTAGATTGTGTAGTTGCAGCATTTTCATTTTAACAAACTAATAAAATATATCCATCTGGTTTTGATATAGATGATATCATAATTGTTAAAACCCCTTTTAATATAGATGTTTACAAATTAGTGGATAGATATTAAAAACCAATTAGATAAAACTTATTTCAAGAGTTCATATAACTTTATGATGATAAATAAAGTACTTAAATATCTTTATGTATTTTAAGCTTTGAATGAAATGAAAAAGACAGCCTTTCTATCTCCAGCATAAATATAGGCTATTCCAAGAAAAGATAAAGTATATCTTATATTAATTATTCAAGTATCTTAAACATAATCGATATAAATCAGATGTATTTAATTTTGGATTGATGCTAATATATTTAATTTAAGCAAAGAAACCAGAAGTATATGATTGGAAGAGATGGACTATAGATGATTTTGCATTAAGAAAAGTTTAAGATGATTTGATAACTACTAATTTTAATGAATAAATATTACATTTGATTGAAATGATGTTAAAAGTAGATGAACATGAAAGACCTGATTTCATATAATTAGATGAAATGGTAAATAAGTTATTTCTAGATCTAAAAAAACATCGTTTATTAGAATAATATTAACCATAAGAATTTTTTATTGCTGGTTATAATAAACCTTCTTCATTTGATAATCTAATTAATTAAAATATCTTTTAATCTAAATATCCTTAATCACCAACTATGATAAAATCTAGTTAACATTTATCTAAAAACTAATAAATAGAATAATAAAAATATAGACAATAAGATACAAGTTAGGCTTCAATTAAAGATTAGAAATGGTAAGAAGGAAAAACTTAAGAGACAAAAACAGGTTTTGAAAATAGTGTTACTTAAGGAAAATTACATTATTCAAATGGATTTTATTATATTGGATAAATTTGTAATAGAAGAAGACATGGATTAGGCACATATTATGATTCTGAAAATTAAAAGGTAACTGAAGGAATGTGGGTTTTTGATATTCCTGAAGGTGAAGTTACATTTTATAATAAACCAAAATAAGAATTAGAGAAATCACATAAGAATTTAGCAAGAAAAGATTGGATTTAGTATAAAGGATAAGTTAAACATGGATAAAAGCATGGCATCGGAGTTCTCTATTTTGCCGATGGATCTAAATTTATGGGAACTTTTTCATGTGATTAAGCACATGGAAAGGGTCAATTTGAATATCAAAGTAAAGAATGCTTTATAGGTACTTGGTAGCATGATTTATATATTAGTTGATGTGTTTAATATTTATAATCAAAATATTATCATTTTTTAATTCAAATTTATAGAAATTTTATATTTTATAGTCTAACAAAATGTGTGTTATATTATTTATTTTTAGTATATTTTAAATAATATAAAATTAATAATATTCTTTAGGTCAAAAATAGTTATAAAATATATTGAAAATTTTTAATCATTTAAGATAAAAAAATTGTTTAAATTTGTAAAAATATTTCTATAAAAATCGATTAATCTGCAGAAACAATATTAAAATAAAAAATAATTTTAATCAAAGTTATTAGATTCATAATATAACTAAATAAATATTGTTTATGAATAGATATTTCAATTAAATTTAATAATAATTGCAATCATTTGATTACTCTTTAATCTTAATAAAATGCTATATAATGTAATCATTACTTAAATTTACTATTAATAATATTTATTTGATTTTAAATTATGATTAGATTAACTTTAAAAAATATAATAATCAAACATTAAAACATGAATTAATAATCTTATAATACTAATAATTTTAGATGAAAATGATGGAAGATAAATAAAATGAAATCGGAACATGTTTTGCAGTTTAATTAAATTATATATCCAATTTAAACTTTAAATATTATTAAAAATGATAGCTTTAATATTCTAAAATAAACTAATATATAAGATTTGAAAAATAAAGAGTAAAAGAATTAACTTGAACATCTTTTTGAAATGCAAAAAACATAGATAAATTGGAAAGGGAATCATTTACGTTTTTTATATAATTGATTATAATCAAATTATTATAAACCTTATATATTCTTAGTTCTTTATAATTTGTGATTATGAATAATAATTTTATATCTTTGAATAAAATTTGGTTTAGTTTAAATCAAAAAACTTTTAGGTTGATTTTGAAATTAGGATCAATTTGTATTTTATTATTGTTTCTTGATTAAAAGCCAAAAAAATTTATAAATAAAAAATTGCAATTTTAATACAGTTTTTGTTCATTAATGACTCATGGTATAATGATTACTAATTTAGTACTTTATTTAGGAGTAGGAGATTTTGCTTTATAAATGTAAACAATAATGAATGAGAATTAGAAGTAATTAGTTTAATGGTTATTTAGATTATAAAGAATAGTGTTCCCATAAAATAAATATTCTAGAGATCCATCTAAAACATCAAAAAAAGGAGAACAAGAGTTATGTTTTATAAGTGTTATTTGTTGTGAATAAAACACTTTTTTAATAGATAGTACTGTTGTTTAATAAAGTAGCTTAATATGATCTTTGGGGATTTGGAAATTCTTAATTTGCATAATTAGGTTTATAATAGGCTTCTGTTAATATGCCTATAAACATTTCATAAATAACTTAAAATTCTTATAAATTAGTTAATGCTGGAACTGGTTATGTAGTTTCATATTCAACAAATAAAAAGTTATATGTTTGGGGAAATTGGCACTAATTAAATTATGGTGAAGTTTTAAAGCTTTCAGAGAAATAAGGTTTCACAGAATAAATTGACACATTTTATTAGATAAGTAGTTTAGATATTACTTATAATTTTTCTATCAATAGATACAATGAATAAGAAAGAAGATCTAGTCATATGCCTGTACATTAAGCTGAAATTATAGCTTTAAAATGTGTAGGTACAAAAACTTATCTTTTAACTCCAAGTAAATTATTTTGTTTGGGATTACAATAACAATTTGTAGTTTAATTTATAGGTATAGCTTGTAGTTAAAAACATATATTGGCTTGGGATAATTAAGGTAAAGTATGGAGTTGGGGAGAATATGCAGATGGAAAGTTAGGTTATATGGATTTTATCTAAAAAGAACAATTAAGTCCAAAATTAATTGAAGATTTCTAAACAACAATAATGTCTTGTGTTTGTGGTTCTAATTATAGTATAGCACTTGATGTAAAAGGAGATATTTATGGATGGGGTAAAGGTCCATTTTAGATAGATTTATCATAAGCTGTTATACCATAAAAACTTTGTTAAAAATAAAAACCATTCATTAAAATTATGGCAGGTGATTCTCATTTTGGGGCATTGGATTTATCAGGATAATTATATGGATGGGGAATAAATATTAAAAATTGTTTAGGAGATTTAGGTGATAAAATTAGGTATCCTTAATTATTAGAATTAAAGAATATTAAAGTAATTGATGCTGCTATGGGTAGTACATCTACTGTTCTTATTGTTCCATCTAATTCAAAATACAAATTACCAAGTTTAAATGTTGATTCTTATACTTCACATTAATAAAAAAGAGTTAGAGAAGAAGCTGCCTTTATTAAAGATTTTGCTGATAAAAAGAATAAAATTGATTAAATATAGATATAAACTTAGAATTAATAATTTTGTAATACTTTAGAATCACCATCTAATAATAATTAATATGAATAAACAGCTGGTTTATTAAGGAAGATGAAAAGCTAAGTTGATTCACTTAAAGGAGTTTCAAAAAATAAATGGAATACAAAATCATTAAGATTAGATACTGACATAATTAATTATAATAATAATCATGTAAATTAAGATTATGATAATGTGTAATCCAAATTAAAATAATTAGAATATCAAAATTATCTTTATATTCCTGTGTGTAATACTTCTACTCCAAAATCATTATAAAATTGGGAATAACGTTAAGATACAGATTAATTTTTAACTTATGAAAATGATGTATTAAAATATTAATATATTCTAATGGTTAAGTCTTAAGATGAATCTAAATTTATGAAAACATTATTAAATGATAATAATAAATAATCAATAGAAAATCAAAATAATTTATTAATTAACTCTAAGATTTGCAAAAGAAAAAGTGATGATCTAAATGATAAAAAGAAATATCATGATAAATTTGATTAATTTGATCCTTATTTTCTTCATAATGTTAAAAGAGATTTAAAATTATTATCATAAAAGAGGAAACAAATCTTTTTAAAAAAACAAAAATAAAGAGAAGAATTTAATAGGGAAGTGGCTGAGAAAATGCAATTAACAAAAGTTCCCATATAAAATAAAGAAGATATTATGAAGGCTATTCAAACATAAGCATATGAAAGAGATATAAAATTAAGAATTGTTCAATAAAAAAAATAAGATAACTTTATAGAGAAGATTCATCATATTCAATAATAAATTCAAGAAAAATCTCCAGAATTTAGATATAAAAAAAGATTAGAAATTATAAGATAATAATAAAATATGTAATTTTTTAGAATAATATTAACTTATTTGAATATTGAAAATATTTAATAAATGATGTAAGATACATCTTAAAGAGGTTTAGAATTGAAAAGATTAATGTTTAAAGAGCACATGAAAGCTAGAGTCATACAAAATACTATTAGAAAAAGAAATATCATAAAAAAAATTAAACAGAAATTAGGTTTAAGATAAAAGAAGATTCTATTATCATTTATATTTAGATTCAAAATTCATTTTAGAATTAAATCTAAATATACATATATTAGAAAAATAAATTTATTTCATCTAAAAACTTCTTTATTTAACAAATTTAGAATCAATTTAAAAACTATTATTACTAAAACTTAAACAATTTAAAGTTTTTGTAAATGGTATAATCATAACTTTTATGTTCAATTAAGTTATCTAAATTATAAATGGGATGAATATTTAAAATAAAGCTTTAAAGGTTAAATGACTGAAAAGGAAAAAGAAGAATTAAAATTATATGAATTACCTGATCTTATGGAAAAATAATAACATCTTTTGTAGAAATTAATTACTCCATAAAAATAATTAAATTGGAATGATTTAAAATTAAAAATAAAACCAGTATGTAAATCTTCAGAATTAAGAACAAATTTATTAAAAAAAGTTAAAACAATTGTATAAATAGATGAAGAAATTAAAGATATAGATCCTAAAATACTTGGAAGAGTTTTACTTCCTTACACTAGATATAATGATAATATAGCTCTTAGTGTAGCAGCTAAAATAAGATTTGACCATCAAATGATGATATAATTGTAGGTTCATGAAAAAGTATATATGGAAGAATTAATAGTCAAATATGAAATTCTTAAAGAACACCTTGAAAAAATCAGAAGAGAATTCACTAGATAAATGAGAGATGTAATCTATCTATTTATTAATTAAGTTTTATACAAAATTAAATGACTATAAAGAAACTCATAAGCAATAAATAAATACAGATAGAGGAAAATTAATGATTAGATTTAAAGCTGATGGTCCTGAAATTAAATAATTAAAGGCAAAAGATGATTAAGAACTTAAATAAATTTTACAAAAAAGAGAATAATCAAGAAAAAGAAATGGATAAAATATTATAATTTTTAAAGAGATTATTTTTAATAAAATTCGTCAATTACCATAAGATTAATAACCATTTCCTAATTTAATACTTAAATTAACAGAGAATATGTGTTCTGATACAAAACCAAAATTTAAGTTAAGATTACATTAAAGTGAATGGTCAAGACTATTTAATTAATACTAATCTGAACTCAAACAAAGATATTTGGCAATTATGAATGAAGCAAGAAAAACTATAACATTTAGAAAGAAAAATTAAAAATAAAATAAATTGATTAAAAATAAACGAATTTAAAAGGCAGAATAATGATTAAATATATTATTTAATAAATTAATTATTTCAATTAAGTAATCTATTACATACTCTTATTGATGGGTTTACATTTATAAATTTCATGATTTCTTGGTTTAGTCTATTTGTTAGCCTAAAATTTCAATTTAAAATTTATATTTTCCATTTGAAATAATCAAAATAGAATTTTATTAGGATCAAATAATTATATAAATATTTGTGGATTCAAAATATAATATTAATAATAATATTATTTCATGCCTCCTCCAAGGGTTGTTTTTGTTACTCTTAATCCTCATGATTTTCTGTCTAGGATACCTATTATTCTACTTAAGTTTATTATTATTCTTATTACTCTTCCTGTTTTGGTTATTCTTAAAGTGAATTCTATTGTTCTTAAATCTAATCTTGCTTTATTTCATTTGGTTATTCATTTTATTCTTCCTTTTGTTATAATATTTCTTCTTCTTTTTGTATCAATTATGGTTATTATTCTTAAGTTTCTTTAGTTTATTCAGGGACTTCTTATTGTAATAATACATTCTAAAAATTTTAAACATAAACTGGTGAATCTACAATTTATTCTACATGCTTTTAAGGTTATTATTCTTCTTATTATTCTATGTTTTCTTCTTTAACTTGAACTGTTTCTACAGGATTTTCTTGTTCAATTTAAGCTTCTTCTGAATCGAATTACTCTGCTTGTTGAAGATTTTCTTGATTTTCATTATCGTTCGAATTTTCTTCTTATTATTATTATTATTCTTATTGATTTTCAGTTGTTTCTGTTGTCGAATTATTAGTAGATGTATATTAGCCAGAGCCTAAAGGTTCAGGCCATAAAAGAGGAGGACTATATGAATCCACATTTACTTGTTCTCTAAATCTTGGATTTACACCTAATAACCACGTTTATTCAATTTCATTTACTACTTTTAATTCTTCAACATATTTTAACCATTCATTTTAAATATTAGATATTGCTGTTTATACTATTTAATATTATTGTAAAACATTAGGAGAATTAATATAATTTGTTATTTTTGTTAATATACCTTAATATCCATGTTTATTTTTTCTTTCTTCTTAACCATTATTTTTAATGAGTAAATTCAAAAAATTTGTATTCTCAAAAAGGAGTTAATGTAAATTAGTATTTTTTGAATCTAAAATAGCTACTATCATTTTTTCAAATAAAATATGTAATTAATTATTAGTAGAATAATCAAATACTAAATTAATTACTTATTAAAATATTTATCCATTTTAAATTATGATAGCTAATTCTTATTTCTAAATTAACTACACAATTAATTATATTAAAGACAATTTTGAATCCCCTAATGGTTTAACTGTGGCTCCATAGGTTGTTTAAAAAGATGCTCTAAATAGATCTTTTTAAATTAGAGCCTTTGATGATTCATCTAATATGGGCTTATAAAGAGTAGAGAATTAAATATCATAATGGGTATCTTCAATCTAAGACATTTTAAGATAAAACTCATATTGAATATTAAGTAAATTATACACTGAACTATTTTACGTATGTATTGCTAAATTCATAAAGAATTCTGGTTTTTCTATAGTTAATAAGATTTCTCTTAAAACTATCATGACATCAAGAGACATTAATGCTCTTTTATAAACTTCAATTAATGATTCACACAAATTTGTAGTTATTGTATTATCATGTGATTATCCTTTAAGGTATTTGAGCAATCTAGTTATTAAAAGTGTTCTCTCTTATTTAAATAATCTCTCATCATGCTCTTCTTAACAAGTATCTAAAATGATTAATTTTTCAAATATTTCAGTAATATGTCTTATGTTTGTATGCTTAAATAAATTCGATATTATCTCTGGATTATTTTTTAAATATTCCCAAAACTTAATTTATTAATAACAATACATCATATCCTCTTTTATGAATAATTGCTGAAATAATTTTCGTAAAATACCCTGCTTATGTGATCAACAGACTATCATTTTATAATAAAGAAAGGAGATCTGGTAAAAGATTCGATCTTAATTTTTCATTGTCTTATTGAAATTCTTAAGGTTAACTCTCTGTTGGTTGATCTTCAAGAGGATTTTAAATTTCTTCTTAGGATATGTCTCCTTGTTTTTCAAATAAGAAATTAATCAATTTCTCATTTTCAGAACCTAGTATTTCACTTATCAAAAATGGATATCTAGAAATAATATATACATATAGATTACTTTATGCTTGTATTTTTATCTTATTCTTTATCAGTAACATCATTAGTTATGTAATTAATCATTTTATTGTATTCATTAGGATGTTATACTATGCTATAGAATAGTTTAAATGTTTTTTTACAAATCAGCAAATTTACCTGAACTCTAATTTTTCAATTCAGATAAAATGTCTTCCTCATTCAAAATCGTTTCTAAAGTTAAATTGTCTTATTTTAACAATGTATCCATTTTAGATTAAAATCCAAATCCAAAAAATCGACCAAAACTACAATAAAGTCATAATCATACTTTAAAAACATGAAATGATTTTATTAATTTTATTTAATAATTAATAATGCATAAAATTAAATAGACTAAATAGTGTGCTTAATGTGAGGCAATGGATCCCTCATATTTATTAGGATGTTCATATTTCATATATTGATAGAATGTTAACATTATCTATGTTAAAATTGTTTCAAATAGATATTAACCAATACTATTTAATCTAAGAAATCCAAATTTTAAATTAAATGTCCAATTGATTCATGCAAATAGCAAATAGATTTAAAAGAATTATTAAAATATTTAACATTGCCAAATAAATGTAAACTTTGTAATTTAGAATAATCATATACATGTGGATAATGTGTAATAAAAGAAATAGAAGAAATTGCAAAAATTAATTATTATTCAAAATTGCTAAAATTTGAAACTCTGATAAATTTGGAAACATAAAAAGAATTAAATGAAGAAATCTCAAAGTTAGAATTAATATGTCCAATTTGCAGAGAGTTTAATTAAATTCCAATTATTGTTTGTATGTAAGGTCATGAAATTTGCAAAGATTGTTATTATAATATTAGAAATATAGAAGATGTTAGAAAGGCATGTCCTATTTGTAAATAAGAATTATTGTCAGCACCTCCAAATAGTTTGAGAGCATAAGTTTTAATAAAAAATTTAAATATAAAATGCCCAAATGATAATTGCAAATAAATAGTCAAATATCCAGATTTTGTTTAGAATCATTATCGAAATTGTATTAGATTTATTTTTATTATGAAATAAGGTTGTGAATAAAAAATTGAATGTTTTGATTGCCATGAAAAAGTTGAACAATTATTTCAAGATATTCATCAATCAAATTATTGTATTGGAAGTATATGTCCATTTAATTGCACACGAAAATTAGGAGTACTAAATTGCATTAAGACAAGGATCATTAAAATAATTTTATTATCGAACATATAATGTCAACTATGAGATAAAGTGATGTTACACATTCATTTTAAGTTAGAATGCAAATTTTTGAGAAATACTTATTTAGAGGTTCATTTGGCAATTGTACTTAGTGTGATTTTTAGTATGCTTGGTAAGTAGATGTTAGAGGTAATTAATCGACATTTTGTTTTTATTGTTTTCGATTTACAGGATGATTATATATTATATAAATATTTTTAATGAAAATTAACTCTGAATTAATATAGGGATCACATCACTTTATTAATCCATTAAATGAAAGACAGCTTGATCTACGAGGTATTGAAATATTAATATAAACATTTTAGCAAAGAAAATTACAGCCATAGAAAATTTAGGAGCTACATTGGTATCAAGATTCTTTTATGTAGGATTTTTTTGATCACATTGATTTAGGTGATAATGATATCAAAAAGCTTGGAAATCTCACTTTATTAAAGAGGTATTATTATTTTATTATATTTATTTTAGACTTAAGACTTTGAATTTATCTAATAATAGAATAATTAAATTGACAGATGTATCTGATTCATTACCTAATATTGAAAATTTAATCTTAATGAATAATAGATTAACTGATATTAATGAATTATATCAATTAAAACATTGTAAAAAGCTTAAACGATTAATTTTACATGGAAATCTAATAACTTAATAACCTGATTATAGATATAAAGTTATTGCAATTTTACCTAATTTAAAAATTCTTGATTTCAATAAAGTTACACTTTAAGTAATAAAATTATTATATTCAATTTAGGAACGTCAAAAAGCTGAAGAATCTTTCAAACCTGATGAATTGACAGATTACATGAATTTGATTAATTTAAAAGATGCTACTTTAGACAAAGAACACATAAAAAAATTATTAGAGAATGCTAAAACATTTGATTAAATAAACTAATTAGAAATGTTGCTTAAATAATAATAGGTTAAAAATTTATCTATTCTTAATGAGTAATGATGAGTTAAATTATATATATATTATAATATTAATATTTAATTTATAATGAATACAGAAGGATTTGTTAGCCTTATGCTTGAAAAAGATGATTCTTATTAATTTTAACCTACTGAAAATAAATTTAAAATAAATAATGATGATGATTTTTATAGATAATTAAGTTAAGAGTTTTATGGTCAATAAAATTTATACTATTTTAAAAACAACAAAAAACAAATTAAAACAATTGATAAACTCAAATTTAAATCAAAACCTACTTTCTAAACAACTGAATCTTAAAAATCATAATACTCATTTACAAATTAATAATAATCACAATAAATAATACAATAAGTAAAATAAATATTTATTATTATTACTTTAGAAGATCTATAAATTATTTACTAAATAAACACCATTTCAATAAACATTGCATAAATAACTTAACAGATCCACTTAAAAAACTAGAAATCTATATGAAATCACTCCTTAATTCACTTTTAAACTAAATATTTCAAACTCTTAAAAAAATTTATTAAAACAATCTCCCTAAAATAGCTATAGATTTAAATTTAATGATGATGATTATTAAGGAATTTAATAATAAAATTCT